TTATTTCATTAAACTCATTTAAAAGGTAATGTTTACTTTTATTGTCCTTAAAAAAAAAAAAGAATAAAAAGCAAGACACAAGACCTTATAAACTGAACTAGTCATGATGGTTGTTTTCTTTGTTTCTCATTCCAGTGCTACACATGGCTTGTGCCGGCCAGCATGCAGAGGCTGTGAGAATTCTCTTGCAGGCAGGCTTGAGTGATACAGAAGACTCCTCTGGAACAACAGCAAAACATTTCATTAAGAAACCAGATGTGCTGAAAGTTTTTGAAGAGGTCCTTGGAGATCCTAATGAACCCAAACTTAACTAGGCACACATTGGGTTTTATTTTTTGGTATAGTGAATAAACTGCGGAAGAAGAAAACAAAGTAATCTTAGTTTGGGCTTTTCGAGTGACCCAAGCGGAAAAGAAACGTAGCTTGGGCCTTCTGAAAAGGAAAAGGCATCCGGCCAGGTGCAGGTTCTGCTCTGTCACTAGCTGATCGAGACCAGGATTTCCCACGCAGCAGAGCACAACCGACTGAGCGCCAGGGAGACAGCGTGGGGTTAGTTTGCCAGGGCACTTTTGGCTCTCGGCAGCACATCAATCCTTTGCGGGCTCTCCAGCAATCAGCTCTGAACCTCCAGTTTGGGGCCATGGTGCCTGAAACAGGTTCAAATACCACTAGCTTGAAGTCAGAGGTGTCTGCCTGCACTTCTTCATTTTCCCCCCTATGTGCGATGGTGATGGTTTGTACTGTAGATGCATGCCCAGACAAAAATAGCATACAAATGGCTTTTTCAAACTGAGCATGTATAACAAAATAATTGGAGATTCTAAATCGTTCTACAAAAAGAATCTTTGCTGCTTTGCTTTGACCTGGGAAAGTAAAAAGCAAAGACCAAAGCCAGGCAATCTCATAGTTTCCATGATATGTCAATCTCTGGTCATGTACCAAACCATCTGTTACAGAAGGCCCAGTATATTTGTAAAGGCAAAATATGTACTAAAAGTACTCCAATGCAGAAGTAATGATAAGGAGGTGGGAAGCAGGAGAGAAGGAGTTCCACCACTTAGCGAGAACTGGAGGAGAGGTGAGAAGTCGAAGCCTGCAAATGAATTGAGAGCCCTAGAAGGAGATGAGTCTGTCGTTGAGAGAAGGGGGAAGGTGTGATCCTAGTTTCAGAAAAATGTTGGTTCCGGATGTTTTTTTTTTTTGCAATAAGAATTCCGAAACACCTGTGTGAGGACACAGACAGGAAGAAAAGATTGTGAAATGGGGAATTATCGGTTTAGAGAGATCTTTGATCTTCACAGCTCTGACATGTTCCCTGAAAAGGTCTCCTAGTCTCCTTCCTGTCTCACCAATGTAAATAGCTGGGCATTTTCAGCACCAAATGCAGTCAGAAAAGAGGGTACCAGTAGAGGGGCCATCCTGTAAGACGGGGAAGTTCTCATAAATGGTCCTGGAAATAGAAAGGGTGTTAGGGTGGTATTACTGTATAACCTGCTAATAATGCACACTTTACAACCAATCTTAAACACATTATGGAATAAGGTTTTCCAAAATGGAAGTAAGGGTACTTGTATAGAATGGCAATGGTCTGCATTTAACATCAATACATAGTGATGTTTTAACATGATGATCAAATGTGTTAGTTGAGGGAGGATCATTTTTCCTTGGGATAAGTCACTGAGCTCAAGTCATGTGATTTAGTAACAACTCCAGGTGCTCAGTGTTTATCTGAGAAGAGTTACCATTGCCAACACGAGTTAATCAAGGGTCTATGTAAACGGTCATTTAGAAAGATACAATTTTAATTAATGCATGAGGAGTAAAAGACATGACCGCGTCGCACTGGAAGATCACCTGTCTGTGACGTACAGTACATTTCCTGGAGAAAGGGATGTTCTGTTTCAGCAATCGGGAGAGTCATCCAGAGACACCAGGAATGTGGCTCTTTAGGCAATCTATCAGTGCATGTGTCTGATCAATCATTTTCAGACTTAAATGGCTAGAGAATGAGACCTTCCTGAAAGAAATATCTCTTGTTTCAGCAGAATGACTGCTTGCTGTTTGCATTGACAATGATCTACAGGTTCAGTGGTAACATTAACAAAAGAGCGACAAATTTGCTGACTGCTGTTGGCTAGAGACCATTAGATGTGGTGGCAGAGAATGTGGCGGAGTGTTTTCTTCCCTGATGGAATTCCATCAGAGTTGATGGACAATGATATGGATAAATTGTGATAAATGTTTTACTAACTGTTGCCTTGTTTTTTGAGTCAATATGGTGGGCAGTGGAAGTGTGAGTGGAGAAACCTCCATTATTGCAAAAAAGCCCTTGGTACAGAATCTGTAGTACCCAAAAGATATTTGATAAAATCATTCAACTGACTGTTTCCTATTCCCGTAGCAGCCAATATGAAAGAGTCGCAATTCCTGCAGGACGATGCATGGTTAGCCAGTATTTGTGAGCTAGTTGCAGGTGTTAGAGGAGGAGTGGTAGACATCCCAGACCAGGGACTGAGCAGGTCTGCGCATTAACACTCAACTGCATGGAATCCTAAAGGAAGTTTAACCCAATATGAACTGTTTAATGTTTTAATTATGACAGCGCAATGGAAACGTATCATAGTTGTTAGAGCTCCAGTTTTATTCAAAATTAAATCCTTTAGACCTGAGTGTTGTTTCTTTTGTGCAATAGGAGCCTGTGCTGATCATTGACAAGGCATGGTCTCTTACAGCACTGCCAATTCAAACCTTTAATACTTTAAACATCTCATAAAAACATTATACTTTTTAATTAACATGCTAATTAATGAGACTGCTTTTTGATTTTCAGTCTACATTATGATTTCAGTACTATACCAGTTCTTACGGTATTCACATATATATATTAATTTAGATTGACTTTATTGAACTGTATACAATAACATTATGTATCTTAGAAATACAGCAAGTATTTGTAGAGTGTACTCGGCAAATGAGCACAATTACAATTCAAGTATTTTCCACAAAAGTAACATTTCCAGAGATTACAAAAATGCAGAATGTTTAATAGCTTTTATTATAAGCGATTTACTTGCTTGATCCATATTAACTCGCATATCAGGAAAATAGTGGTCTTTATTTGCCTTTAGATTTACTGTAATTCAAATTCACAGTGAAGGTCTGTATTTCTTTTTTTCAGAAAATGGTATCCGTGATCAGCCTATTAAATGAACTCATGCATTGAAATGAAGAGGAATGTGCTAAATAGTTTTGCAGTCAAGGCTATTGATGAGCCTTATCTAGTTTTAAGTGACATCTGTTAATTTAAGAAAGCTTGTTGCAATCTTCTGCACACATGGATGTGTTTTCTGCCACATGCAACTGTTTAATATATTCAAAAACACACACAAAAATGTTGACGGCTACTGTGGAAAGTGAAACTTTTGACATTTTGTAGACAAAGGGAACCAAGAGAACACATTCGGGAATAATGACTACACAAATCAGAGTGCACTACACTAGCTCAAATAACTAAGCAAAAATTCAACCAGCTCTCCTCTTGGAACTCGACAGTTATTTGACTTGAGATACTGTAGATCAGTGGTTTGCTGTCTGGGGTGCAGGAACCCATGGGGTACCAAAAGGTCACTGGTAAATTCTAGCTACACCCACAGAAGACGCAAAGACATTCCACAGCTGATAGTATTATTTCTGTTAATCAAACTTCCATGACAGCTTGGAATGACCACCTGACATTTAAGACCTTAACAGTGTAAATTTGCCGTTGCTGTTATCATTGTAAGATGTTACGTGGATAGAAGAGATATAGAGTGTCACAGAGAGGAAAAATGGCTGTATTGATCTTAAGTTGCATTGAATGGCCAGCGTCTCTCTACAGTAAGTGTTGATGAACCTTGTTCTCTTTTTTTTCTTTGAATGGTTTTCTTCCATTCATTAATGGCCCTCCTAGCTCAGGCACTGGAAATTGGCACACCAATCAGAGGTGACGTTGGTTTGCAAAACAGGTTCATCTGTACCTGTGATCGGGGGGGGGGGGGGCGGCTCTGGAACAGGGTGCGAATACACAATGCGTTGTTACACCTGGCCATCTGCGTACAGCCAGGTAATCAAGGAGCCCTGAGCAGTTAGCTCGGCCCACAGCCAAGACCTCACCAGAACACCATCGTGTATTTCCAGTAGCCTTATTTACTGCCATCTCTTTGGTGAGACAGGAAGGAGACTGGCAGACTGTTTCAGGGAGTCAGAGCTGAGGATCAAAGATCCCAGCCAGTATTTCTCCCATTTCGCCTCTAACAGCCATGATCATGCAGTGTTCTCCATCTGCATCCTCACAGAGGGGTTTAGAACTGCCAGACGCCCTCTCTCCCTAACACCTGAAGAAGACTCCACAGATGAAAAATTGTGTTTCTTTTCCTTTTGGTGTAGTATAAACATGGAATAAACAGGAAAAGTTATATTTACCCCTTTCCTCGTCGTCCGGTCACTGCCACCCCCCGGGGATATGTCGCAAGCCTGAGGAATTGCTGTGTTACGGGGTTACATTTGTGTGGAGGATTGAAATATTGTAATAAAATGGGATATTATAAATGACAACTGCCTTACCTAGCACCCTCTAGAATCGCTTGGTGGTGTAGTCAGCGATGGAGCAGGAGCAGTGTCTGCCTTCAGTGATCACCATTCCCTGACACCCCGCACAGCCTTCTGACCTTACCAATGGGTTATTATCATTGTAACTATTCCACTTTTTTTTTTAAAATAGACGTTCTTGACAGAAAAAATGGAATTAAGATATCCCACAGGTAAAAGAGGTATCCGGTCCTCGGGGTGTTGTTATTGATTTATTTGGCTGATGCTATTATCCAAATCAGCTTACAAAAGTACCAATTTACATAGCTGGGCATTTAAAACAAACCAATTTGAGCGAAATACCATGCTCATTTATACCACCAACTGTCCTGATATAACCCAGGAGCCCTTACCACCACCCCCTCAGGAGAATTTAAGCAGGTGTGAGCCTGGCCAGTACCTGGATGGGAGACCTCCCAGGAAAAACTAAGGTTGCTGCTGGAAGAGGTGTTAGTGGGGCCAGCAGGGGGCGCTCACCCTGCGGTCTGTGTGGGTCCTAATGCCCCACTATAGTGACGGGGACATTGTACTGTAAAAAGGTGCTGTCCTTTGGATTAGATGTAAAACCGAGGTCCTGACTCTCTGTGGTCATTAAAAATCCCAGGGCGTTTCTCAAAAAGAGTAGGGGTGTAACCCCGGCGTCCTAGCCATATTTCACATTGGCCCTTACCAATCATGGCCTCCTACTAATCCCCATCTATGAATTGGCTTCATCACTCTGCTCTCCTCCCCACTGATACCTGGTGTGTGGTGAGCGTTCTGGTGCACTTTGGTTGCTGTTGCATCATCCAGGTGGATGCTGCACATTGGTGGTGGTGGAGGGGAGTCCCCATTACCTGTAAAGCGCTTTATAAATGTAAGCAATTATTATTAATTATGAACATTAAAAAAGCGCTGCAAAGAACAGTCTTGACTTGCTGTACGGTTTGAACGTTCAGATACCATTGCGAGTGTGGACGTCAAACCCACGCTCCGATTTTTCACCCCATCTGATTTCGCAAAAGAACCTCTTTATATACTGATGCAGACAAAATCAGCTTCACCACAGGCTACTCTTGTTTCAGTGGTTTCCCGCTGCTGCAAGAGAATTGCAGCATCAAATCCGATCACCTCTATCGCAGCACAGCCCTCCCCCACCAGCCTCGCACTGCCCGCCAGCCTTTCCGCGTCCGCTTCCCCGACCGCAAGCGAGGCGCAGCCCCGCTCGCCCAGTGATTGACAGCGCGGCGGCTCCTCCCCCTGCGGCCGGGCGGAACTGTTTGACGTCGAGCAGCTCCTTTCACTTCCCCAGCTTCGCTGTTCTCCATTTTCTACAGACCCGAGCGGCTATCGAGGGGAGAGGCAAAGAAGAAAAAATGAATGAAGAATATGATGTAATCGTCCTGGGAACTGGACTGACGGTGAGAAAAGAGCCGGGATGCCGTTGCTAGCAGGGGGCCGAGTGTACATGCATGTTTATTTTTATACGACAGGAGAGTGAGGGGTTGATCTTTGCAGCTGTAAGCACTGTGTTGGGCCTGAACTCCTCGTAGGCCTTGTTTTTCTTCAGCTGAGTCAGGCTTGAAGGAGCGGGCTGGGGTCGCACAAGCCTCTTTCCATGCGATCTGTGCCCTGGGATACTTCCAGCAGCTGGATTTATCTGTCGGCACATTGTTAGTTGGAGGAGAGGAAGCCTTGTTCGGGGATGAAGGAGCTCCTTTATGTCGGATTCCCCCGCAGTCCGGGCGGTGTGAAAAGCTGATCTGTCCGCTGGCAGGAGCGCAGAAGTGGGTTTTTTTTCCGCACACGTTACTGGGCAGTTCTGCTCTTTGGACACTTAAGCCGATTGAGCTGTTAGTGATGAATTACAGACATGGTGGGGGTTCATAGTCGTTGCTGTAATGATTGTGTGCGCCCAACGGGACGGTGATTTGGGTGGAGACGAGTCGTTTCCTATTTCTCGCCCAGCCTTGCAGTGCTGCAGTTGTACGGTGTTCAGCTTTCGGCAAACAGCCGGCGCCCTAAACTGCAAATGTTGTCGTCATCTCATCCTAGTTAAGTCGAAAGTCAGTAGGTTTTGTATTTGTTTTTTTGGGGTGGGCTTTTTATGGAGAAAACGCCAGCTTCGGATGTAGCAGTAATGATTGAGTGCAATGCCTCATTGATGATTCTAGCCTGTAGTTGAAGAAGAAACCCTTCCTTTATGTGTAAGTCTGTGTAGTTCGTGCACTTGGCATGCATCTGTATTGGCGATAGCTTCTGTAAATGTACTTCTCTCTCTGCGAGGATGTGTTCCTTGATGGGGAAAAACAAACAAACTTCTCTTCAGCGTCATTATAAACCATGACAAAGAAGGACAAATCAATTGTTTCCTAACAATTGAACTTTCATCTCTTCTAATTTATTTAGCTAAAGACGCCACAAGGAGGAACATTTTCTTGCACACACTGTAAATCTGGAATCTGCCAGGCCTCTATGCTTGTGGTTATATATTTGGAACAATTCACTATTTAAATATTGTATCCTGTAATTTGCTTACAGTTTGAACACAGTTGCATGTGAAAGGAAACCCTCTTGATTTGAGTCCTACTGTTTTTAGAAACACTGCTACATGTTTTGGCTCTTGATGTTAGTTCACTGTCAAGGGTGAACTTGAAATGCCATGTATGTGTGCAAATTCCATGTACATATGCAAATAATTACCTGTAGTGGAATGTACTAAGAAGTTGGTTTCTGTCCCTTACAGAGATCCATCTCTGATTTAGAAGGATATATTAAGCCTCATCTTATGCTGTCTCTTGTTTTCATTATTTGGTTTACCCTAACCAAAAAAGTAACACTTCAATACTTGTACCAGATCTCTCAGGAGTGGGTCACCAGCCACAGACAAAATCTCCACATAGAAAGCAACAAGAGAGCACTCTGTGTCTTGAAGAATGAAGTATCAAGTAGTATAGAATTAAGTCACTAATACATTCTATAAAGCTGTAAAATAGTCTCATTCAAAACAGTAGCAGCTGTTAAAAAAGCAGTACTCATCTTGGATAGTTGCACAGACTTAGTCTCACTACTGTTTACTGTTTACTTTGCACTAAGCACTAACCTGGCAGTCTGGTATGATTTGCAATGCTTCTTCAGTAAAGATTAAGTTTATCTAGTTGTAGTGTGAAAAGAAAAAGATAAGGAAGTGTTATTTTACATAACCCAGTTCCTATTCTAAGTTTGTCAGAGCATGTAACATTGGTAGTATGTTGGATAAAGAGACAAACATTTATTGTTAATCGTCCGGACATTGACAAGAGATCTGAGAATGTTGTAATATAACTTGAGGGAAGAGTCACTGTTTATTGGAAGCCAAGCATTGCCGGTGAATCGGTAGGTTTGAGGAAAGTGTCCTTTAAAGAGGGGTAACTGGATAACCTACTTGGAGCGAAACAGTCGCATGTGGCCGTGAAAGCAGTGCACAGCAGGCTGGTTCAAGATGACACTGCTCCAGCCCAAACAAAAGACCTTCTTTGTAGTGGGAAGATGGAAGAAAGTAGAGTTTGCAGGTCTGTTTATGGAGTTTTCAGCAACAATCTGAAATTCTTTGAATTGATGGTGTAACAAAGGGGAATTCCTCACAGTGTCTTCCACGGTGTGATTGGTGCTTCCCCAGTGTGCTGATGTGCACAATGAAGGTTGATGTTAATCCTTTTTGAACCTTTTTTTTTTAAGAAGCTGTGTTCACACAAATAATATAATTACTATGTCATCTGTTGTGAGCACTATCTTTATTTGTCACTATTTGTATGTGGGGCGGGGAGGTACAGTGACTCTGTGGCTTTGGATTTGCGCCTGTGGCTGGAAGGTTGCTGGTTCAAATCTCGTGGCCGGCAGAGGAATCCTACTCCATTGGACCCCTGAGCAAGGCCCTTAACCCCCAATTAGTCATGGGGCGCTGTATAAATGGCTGACCCTACACTCTGACCCCAAACTTCTCTCTCCCTGTCTGAGTGCCTGTGTGTCTCGTGGAGAGCAAGCTGGGTTATGTGAAAAGACAAATTCCTAATGTAAGAAATTGTATATGGCGAGTAAAGTGATCTTATCTTATTGACTTGGCATAGGATTCTTCTTGGGAAAAAGATAAGAATTCTGGCTTTGCATTTAAACAGTGCAAGTTGTCAACACAGAGTAGAAAAATGTTAAGAATCTAGCAGTACATTTCTCTTTCTTACGATAAATGTCTCTTGTCTTGGTTGATGTTATTCAGAATTATAAAATTTCCCATACAGAAAATGCTTGTGATGTGATGGTAAACATTGTCTGGCATGTATGTCTGGGTGTTTGAATTAAACCATAACTCCAAGAGCTGTAAGTCAATTTTCCTGTAGCTGGGGTGCAGTCCTCTCATTTAATCAGTTTGCTCTGTTGTGTGATCTTCATGAAGTGCAACAATGTTCTTTCTTTGCATTGTACGAATTATCTTTCAACTATACATCTCCATACTTGAGAAAGCACACACAATGTGTGAAAGATTGAGATGAAAAAAACTAAGGTGAATTCAGGGCCCTGTGCATAAAAATACATCCTCAATTTCCGGTCTTTTTTCCTTTCTACAGTAATGTACAGTCTGTCTTGCAGAAATGACTGATAAGTTTAATCACATTTTTTCAGAACGGTGTACACAAAGATGCATTAAATCTGCAATTGCCTCATCTGCTGGAAAAGATGCAATGAAACGCTAATTCCCAGATGCTTTTCGAATGTAATTGTCGTTATAATACTGCCTGCCACGTGGCATGCAGGCTTTCATACCTTGTTTATACAGTTTGTGTAAAACACAATACTTTAAACATTAATTTAATGAATGTGCTTTTGGGGTTAGAGTCCACATCAAGCTGAAATAGACAATAAATCCTATACTTTGCTCCCCCCTGCATCCAAGGAAAGTGGATAAATATTAACCAGGAGGTGGATATAATGTCTGAATTCATCAGCTTATACTGCTCTCTCATTTTCCTAGTGAAGTCATTCAGCAGGTTTGTTCTGCTTTAAACACCTTGCCGATATGCAGAGGTGATAAACTGTTCACAATAAGAGACCGTCACTGTGTAGCCTATCAGGGAGGTACTGTTATTTGTTAATATGTATTTGTAACATCTATCGGTTTTGTCTTTCATTTTTAATATTTAGTTTTTCTGTGTAGTGTATAATTAGGTTAGAAGGGTATGTTCGTTTTAGATCTTTCAACAACAAATGGGAATTCGGCCCTTGTAATGATTGTTCCAGAGTGTTTTTCAGCAGGAAGTGGGGGAGTCACCACCCCCAGAGCTACGCTGGCTGCAGAAGGCTTATGATCCTTAGAGAGCAAGCCAACAGTACTGCAACACAGAGATACAAACAGGCTGGTCAGCTGTCCATCACTGTAGTGCTGAATAATCTGTCCCTGTGGCGTTACTTTTCTGATCTTGCCGTTTTATCCTAATGCAAAACCCTAATGAGCAGGACAGCAATGTTGAGATGCAAACTGGCGTATAAAAACTGACCTTTAAACTGTACAGGGCAAAAAAAAATGTTGTGCATAGTTCTAACTTGCAAATAATGGGACCTAAAAATCTCTGGAAATTAGAAATGACATATTTGCATATTTACATATTTGGAAATCTTCGATTTCCTTCCTCTTGTGCCATTTGGTTAGTGCTGCAGTCTCTTGGGGCAGCCTACCCTCTACAGGTGCAGGAAGTTAGGCTAGGATTTCTTGGACATGGAAATGAGCTCTCTGCATCATTTTAATTTCTAGCAGGTTCTTGTGTTACGCGCAGTTATCTTTTTTTCTCAAGAACATTTTATTGCTTCTTTTTTTTTTGATTACGGTGATAATGTGATTGTGCTACTGTTTTGGTTTTTGTTAGTCTAACTGGGTGCCAATTCTGACTTGCTGCTGTGAAGGTTAAGGAAGAACACTTATACCTGCTTGCTGGCCACTAAATGACTCATGGTCTATTTACAAGCCCTGTGATGTTTTCATCTTTATAATGATCATAAGGCAGCAGAATTCAGAAGCTGAATTTTGTTTGTGGTGGCCCAGTGGCTTCTTCATAAGTACCTCAGTTTATTTTTGTGGCATTTATAAAAAACACTGGACATTAAACCTTTTCTTAATTTGTTTTTATCAGAATATCATTTTCATGGGCTCATACTAATGACAGTTCTGACCTTATTGATCATGGTTTGTGGTTATTTTTGTACTTTTAAATTCTTGTTAATTTCTAACAGAAGTGAAATTCATGGGAGGAGACCTTGTTGTTTTGGGTGCTTCCCGTTACAAAAGAAAAAAGGTTATTGTTTGTTAGGTTGCTCCCTCTCTTTGCTAGAGGCTGGTGTTTATTAATCTTGTTCAAATGTAGGAAATGTGCTTCCTAGGCCTTGTCACAAAGTTCGTTGCTTTAAACCGTTAAATTCAGAATTCAGAGGAATGTGTGTGTTATCTCGAGTGTGCCGTGAGAAAAGTTTCTGGAACTCAGCCTTTTCATTGGCCTTCCAAGCCTTTTATCTTCCTTTAGCACCAGTTATCCGCAACCTCAGTTGTCTTAGATTATTCCACTGGTGGCGTTGATCACCGTTACACAGAAATTGTACCTCATTTTGCTCCCTTACCGAATGTAATAACTCTGAATTACATTCAGAAATCAGACACTCTTTTGTAGTTTCACGACATAATTTGACATTAACAATCCAAATTACTTTTTAATCTTTGGAAGAAAATCCATTCATTGTAGATTTGATCATTTATCTGATTAGATAAAACGCTCACTAGACTTGAGAAACTCTCAAATGGTTTGCTAGCACGCTGCCTGTGATTAAGAATGATTAGGCCTTGATTCACTGTGCACATAGGTCCATGAAAAAGAAAACCTCCAACAGTACTTTTTTCTTCTATTCTCCACCTAATCAATACTTACATCAATGAACACACGGGATAACATGCATCAGCTGCGTAAGGGGCTGTATATGTTTATCCAAATTCCTTTGAAATGTATTTTTAAATTCTGCCAGTATATTTCTGAATATATCTGGGGGTGATTGCTTGGGTCCGAGAGTTGTGTTTGGTCTTCAGGTTTGAGGCTGACCAGTTTTGGCTTTGAGGGTGTAAATACCTCAAAGCTAAATAATATTGTGTTATTATTGGATGTTAAAAGCAAATATCTAAATGTAGGAGTGTACGTTTCAAAGTATTTGGGGCTATTCAGAGTGACTGCCTGTGTGTAACTTGGAGTGTCAGTACAAAACAGTACATCCTGCAGTTGTAGGTTTATTTATAGTTCAATTAAAAATGCATTTTGCTCAAATAACCTCTTAAGGGCAGGTTGATGTTTCCAAAATACAGGAAAATATATGCCCTTCTTCATCACACCCTGTCCTAGTTTGTCCATGGCATGGTGAGGCCTTTCCAGGCCTGATAAAGTAATGTTCCAGTCACATGACTTGCTGCACAGTTCCAGCCTAATCTGATTAGGATTTACTTGAATGGGAACTTTTATTTATTGTTAATAGTAAGAATTAAGTATTGTATTTCCGGTCGTGTGTTCTCTTTTCCGAGTTAAATCTTATCACTTTCTAAGAAACCTTGCTGCCCGTTTCACCGACTTTTTAGTAAGCTTCTGCAGCCATTCCTAAAGTCCAAATTCCTATGAGTAAATCAGCTGTGATTTGATTAAAGCATTTTTTTTAAGTACAGACGTCACTAGATACTAAGACCATGTTTAGTTTATCAAAAGTGTGCTTGGATGTGTTTTTACATTAAAGTTGCTGCAGGAATCTTAAATGGGAGCCTGCATGCCAACAACAGTATTGTCATTTTAATAGAAAACAGATTCACTTACCGTTGCAGCAGACTGGGCATGTTATCCCGTGTGTCTCACTCTTTTTTGCGGGGTATTTTTCATTGATGTAAGTATTGATTAGGTGGAGAATAGCAGAAAAAAGTACTGTTGGAGGTTTTCTTTTTCATAGAGTAACAGGAAGAGATTCAGGCTATTTGGGTCAGCTGTGCAGATATATATATATATGACTTGAGAAAGATGTTTTCATTTGGCATGCGTATTGAACAGTCAAGCTCATGAAAGGCCTTCTGACACTAAATCATATGTTTCATGCAGCTTTTGAAGTTCCAGTGGGATCCAGTATTGGTACTTAGCAATTATATGGTCTCTGCAATCCTTCGACACTTGATTAACAGCAAAACAACTAGACCGCAGGTCATGAATATTGTTCAATATCTTTAAATCTTCCAGTTCATATAAATGCTTTGTACTTACGTGCTATTTTTTTAAGAATAGGATGGTTAGCATTCTTTCCTAGCTTTATAATTTATTTGTCAAATACGTTAGGGTTTAGGATATTTGTGTTAAAATCAGAGGAGGTTCAAGTGAAGATCTCCATTGGCTAGAAAGGAACCAGTAAAGGTTAATTCCACACTGAAAAGCACAAAGAAGAAATAAAATGTTTTGGTTGAGCCTTGTTCCAGGTTCAGGTGTCTTGCTCAGACACGCTCAGATGTTGACACCTGTTTCTGGTTCTGTTTCTGCTTTCAGTGTTGAATTAGCTTTTACTTTGTAGTAGCCTGACGACTGGGGATTTACCAGTGACTCAGACTCTTCTGGTTATTAGAATGGTATCTCCCTTTGTTGAATGTCTGGTTGTGGTGTTTCTTATGTAATGCAGTATTAATGTACTTTCTCCTTGGTTGCAGGAATGTATCCTCTCAGGCATTATGTCTGTGAAGGGCAAGAAGGTGCTTCACATGGACCGCAACTCGTACTATGGTGGAGAAAGTGCGTCCATCACCCCCTTGGAAGATGTAAGAACAGTTATGCCTCTTGCTGTTTAAAGATTCCTGAACGTATCAGTCTTGAATGCTGTGTTTCTAAAACGCTGGAGATGGGCAAGTACTTCTGCTCCTGTCCAGGTGGAAATCGCCTACAGACTGTAGGGGAAAACAGCAGAATTTGCTCATCCTTGCTGAATTCAGTGCTTTTTGCATGATGTGAACTTTTGGACAGTATCATACTGTACCATTGCAAAAGGCACTAGTGTATCTGTGAATTACATGCACACTAAAAACGGTGCAGATTCATGAAACTTCTTTATGGACAGATTTGTATGGGTGAACATGGGCCTACTCATGCCATCTGCCTTCATCGTTGCTATAACAACTGGACCTTCAGTCACTCCTTCCTAGAGATATGAGTGCACATCACATTTCGCACTGAAATAGACTAAAATCCATTTCCGGGTTTTTAACCATACTGAAGGTAATGACCATCAGCAAACAAAATCAATAATGTTTGTCATTTGTAACAAAACAGTTTTGAAAAAGCGTAAGTATTGTATTTGAGGCCTTTACTCTGTGTACAAATCCAGCTCTCATTTTTGTATTGCCACTGATGCTATTCCCTGTGGACTGCCAAAAAGCAACGGGCAGTCAGTATTCACAAAGTCAGGACCTGGTCAGCTAAATTCACGCACTGATTAAAAGTGCGCAGCAATTTCGGTGATGATTCTCCACCGCATTTACCGTAGGTAATGCCAAGTTATATTAGCAGAGTTTCCCTGTCGATTCCGTCCCCACCTGCTTATACTTTTGCAAAATGTTCCATTTGAGTTTGCTTGCGTGTCTTTCATGGGCACTGACCTGCTGCTCTTGTGGTGGCCTCAGTGACTGCCTCGCAAACCACAGTGTGAGGAAATGGCAGCTGCGCATCGTCTTTGGAACGGAACTGTTGAATAAGAACATGACCTCCTGGCTTTTTTTTAAACCGGTGGTTACCTGCAGATTCTAGAAAATCGATTTTTCAGCACAGACTGCAATAAGATTCGCAGCGTCCAATGTATTAACACTTTGTTCTACGAAGGTTTGAAGCACAAAAACAGGAGCTTTCCAACCATACCTGCACCTGTCTGGGTGATTAATAGCAGTCTTTTTTTCTCCCCCTAGCTATACAAACGGTTCAGCCTACCTGGAAACCCACCAGAGTCGATGGGAAAGGGAAGAGACTGGAATGTAGACTTGATTCCCAAGTTCCTCATGGCCAATGGTGATGATAATGATGATTCCTTGCTTTAATATTCCAAAAGATTCCAAAGCACCTTATATGTAGTAGACGAGCCACTGTTCTAGGTGGAGAAGTGAAGAATTGTTTTTTCTAGTCATATTAATGTGGGGATGACTGTAGTACATCTTAAGCTGTTTTTACCTGCTTTTTACACATGTTTTTTATACCTTTAATTGAATTGAGTGTATCAAATTAAATTTAATCCAGTTATGCTGTTTAAACTCGTTAAGGATTAATTGTTCTTTTAATACATTAGCAATTTCCTTATGTATCTAACTGTTTAAAACTGGCGACAGAAACATGAAGAGTTTGAACACTAAATCCATTTCATATAGCCTGCTGTACTGAAGCCTAAGACCCATTAAATACAATTGTGTGTTGTGACCATCAAGGATTTACTCAAAGCTTCCACTGGTGTTTTTTGTAGTATTATAACATCTTTGATTGCTATATTAACATAGCTTATCTGGGCGCAAAGAAACCAAGCAGTCTTTAAATAACATTGATTTTGTGTTTTCAAAAATGTGATTCCAGTAACTCAAGCTAAAATATAGGTGTTGTAGTAGCTAATCCATTGTATTTACTAGTTACATGTAATTGGCTAATTGTCAGCTGTTCTTTGTCATTAATTTAATTCCTTTCTACCTTTCCTCAAAGCTTAAAAGGCTGCTTTTTGTACTACTTAGTCCAAATTTTTTAGGTGTGATTAAATGATGGTCTAAAACTAAAAGGGTACACATTCAGTAAGAGGCTGTCATAGAATTATCTGCTTAAAAAACAAAATAGTTTAAAAGGCAGCAAATAGGAATTGCAGCAGTTAGTACTCTAAACTGTTTGTTAACAAAAGAACCACTAGCTGCAGTCTTTGAAATCCGTTTACACAAATGTATTCGCCTGTTGATATGTCTGGATGGGATTATTGGTACTACTGCTTTATACTGAACTCTAACATTGCATTTAAAGTAGAAAAATTGAAAACTTATCCTTTTTTTTAGGTCAGCTTGTCAGGATGTTGCTGATCACTCAAGTGACACGTTACCTTGACTTCAAGGTCATTGAAGGCAGCTTTGTCTATAAAGCTGGGAAGATTTACAAAGTCCCTTCCACTGAAACAGAAGCCTTGGCATCCAGTAAGTACACAAGGTCGTAGTCAGTGTTCAGGGGCTTTTATATCTATTAAGTAAAAAAGCAAAGACCTGGGTAATTTATCCAGCTACACCAAAAGTGAAGGGTCTGATAATGACAGATGTTTCCAAACCGTATGCTGATTTTTGAAGCAGCATTAAAAAAAAAGGATGATTTGTAAGGAGAGCAGGAACATTTATGCTGATAGAAAATTATGGGAATTTCAGTTATTGTGTTTTTCGTTAATGTGAGTCATTTTGGGAAAATTGCATATACATGACATTTGATACTCAATTTGGCATTGACCGTAGGCATGAAAAGATCTCCGCCTTGCTGGTAATCTCCGTTTGTTCCTTACGTTAGATTTGATGGGGTTGTTTGAAAAGCGACGATTCCGAAAGTTTTTAGTGTTTGTTGCCAACTTTGACGAGAACGATCCTAAAACCTTGGAGGGTGTGGATCCAAAGAAGACTACAATGCGAGACGTGTACAAGAAGTTTGACTTGGGCCAGGATGTCATTGACTTCACGGGCCACGCCCTTGCTCTGTACAGGACTGACGAGTGAGTGGCGGGTTTGGTTATTTCAAAAATGTCTTGCTGGGTCCAAGCGTGAAATCTTTAAAAGGTCTTTTGAACTGTGGGAAATATGTTAATTAAATTGGTAGGTCCCTTCTGTGAAGTTGAAAAATTACCCAGCTAAACGATATTACATTTTTATTCACTTATATTTAGTTAAGGTGAGCAACTGCAGAGAGTAGTCTCAGTATACATCACTGTACTGAGTGCTATAGTAAGATATACATATTCTTTATTATTTTGATTATCTGTTTTGCTGTATATTTGTTGTTTATAACCTTCTGTCACTTCTGTTTTGTTTGGCCTCTGTATGTATTAGAAGCTCAATGTAGTCCGAATATGTCATTATTTCCCTATATAATCAATAATAAATTTCCCTATATAATGTTTGGTTGTTGGAAGATTAGCATAAAACATCTGTATTCCTCTTAAATTGCAAGTGAGTATTTTGTTTTTCTCCCTAGGTATTTGGACCAGCCCTGCCATGAATCAATAAACAGGATTAAGCTTTACAGTGAGTCTTTGGCCAGATATGGTAAAAGCCCTTACCTTTACCCTCTGTACGGTCTTGGAGAGTTGCCACAAGGTTTTGCAAGGTAAGACACATGCAAATATTTCATTATGGAAGATGGTTATACTCTCTGTACCTACTCATGGGACCTTGGTCTGTTTTTCAGATTAAGTGCCATATATGGAGGAACCTACATGCTGAACAAACCCATTGAAGAGATCGTCATTGAGGATGGAAAAGTTGTTGGAGTTAAATCTGAGGGCGAGGTAATGACGATACTTTGAAAATCTTGTCATTTTAATACTGCTTTCTGGCATTCAAACTTCTGACATTCTTCATAATCTCCAGTACTGAATCTTCACAGTTAGTATCTCTCATATTAAAACATGTTTTTAGAGGAATAATTTCCATAGCGAAAAGCAAAGTATATCCCTCACCCCCTATTTTCTCCCCTGAAATTGGTCATATTTGATTGGGATAGAATAAGGGGTTGGTAATGTATCTTGTAATTTGAGGGAAACTGCTTTTGAACGAACATGTTGTTATTAGCTCTTCCAGTTTTTTATTGGGTAATACTTTAAAGAATTATAACATCTCTACCAAGCCATCTGAAAAGTGGTGTTTTTGACTCCTCTTGTCTTCCTGTCCCCCAGTTTACTTCAGATAAATGATTTAAGTACTGTTAATGGCTTTGAAAATACCTTTAGTGGTTTCCAGGAGACATACTAGATTCTTCCTTCACGTTTTTTTTTATGGCAGATTGCTCGCTGTAAGCAGTTGATCTGTGATCCCAGCTATGTTAGTGACCGGGTGACAAAGGTGGGTCAGGTGATCCGCCTCATCTGCATTTTGAACCACCCCATCAAAAACACAAGTGACGCCAACTCGTGCCAGATCATCATTCCACAGAACCAGGTCAACAGGAAATCTGGTGGGTACCCATTAAGTAATCCTAACGCTGACACCATGTACCAGGTGTCCCCAGAAATGCTGTAGTGTGCAGAATGTTCAGAAAATTGCTTATTTAATTATCTCAGTTTTAGAGTTTAAAACCTGGAAATATGTTTTTAAAGTGATTGTTTAAGATCTGTTGGGCTCTTTATAATAGCATATACTATACCACCAAAATGCATCAGTCTGTACATCTGCTATTGCACATTGAAGGAAACCAGGTTTTGCTTTTTAAAACTTATACCAGTGAAAACTCAAAGAGGAATATTATTTGATTAAGTAAATGTTTACAGATGTTTCTGTTGACTATAGAGTAAAAATATGGGTCTTAACCAATATTGTCTGCTTGTTTAATTGTTGTGATAGACTGAAGGAATATTCTGCTTGCTCAGTTTGTCCTTTAGATAACATTTTCATAAAGCCTCTGCAAATGAGATCCATTTAGAAAATGTGAATTTGTGATTTATACTGTTTTTATAAAATTTAACAATACTGTTTGCTTCTTCCAACTGAATATTCACTTAAACAAGGACTGGGGACACGTGATAACCCTGAGATTCACTGACTTTGGATTCACAATTTTTAAAAACCTTTTGGTTCTGGAAATTGAGGTTTCCTGATCTTTTTGAACTAATGGTTCTTATATTTGCCTTCACAGATATCTACGTATGCATGATTTCCTTTGCACACAATGTTGCGGCACAGGGAAAATACATTGCCATTGTGAGCACTACAGTGGAGACCAGCGATCCCGAGAAAGAGATCAAGCCGGCTTTGGATCTTCTTGAGCCCATTGAACAGAAGTATGTGCTCTCAGTTTCTAACTTTCCCCTAGACTAATAAATTCATCTGCTGAAGTTGACTTTCAGAGTCTTTGAAATATTTTCTCCAGAGTACAATTTTTCTAACCGTTGATCTCCCCCCCAACAGGTTTGTCAGCATCAGTGATCAGTATGCTCCAACTGACTTGGGATCTGAAAGTCAGGTCAGTGTTTCATTTTATTGCTGCATTTTGACCCTGCTGTAGGTCTGGCCTGAGAAGAGATGGTTGATAATGGTGTCCAGAATGTGTGAAGTCCGACACAATGTCGAAGGTGTACATGCTGTTGTGCTTTTCCAGGTTGCCTTAAATACCCAACTGCTTGAATGTTTTATCGTGTCATCTTGCAGGGAAGATGAAGGTTATTTCATAGAAAATTCAAAGGAATCGAGTCAGTATAAAATGCCGTAATTAATAATTATCGTTTCTTACACTTATATAGCACTTTCCTGGACACTGTACTCAAAGTACTTTACAGGTACTGGGGACTCCCCTCCACCACCAGTGTGTAGCCCCCACCTAGATTATGTGATGGCAGCCATAGTGCGCCAGCTCACCACACATCTGCTATCAGTGGGGAGGAATACAGAGTGATGAAGCCAATTTATAGATGGGCCAAGGGGAAAATCTGGCCAGTACATTGGGGTTACACACCTACAGACAGTAAGTAGGCTAAGCACAAGCAGGTGAACAGCTAGGCTCATGCAGGTAGTGTTGTCCACATGCTTGCAGGGAATATGATTTGATGTAATATTCCATTGACTAGAGCATGAAGGGCTGGTTGATAATACTGTCTCTACATTGTGTTGCTACTATGGACAGTTTGAGCAATATATGTCACTCAAAGTACTTTGGAAAGATCATTTGTGGGAGTGATGATTAATGGCCATTAACTGTTTAACATGTTTGAACAGATCTTCATTTCGCGTTCCTATGATGCCACCACTCACTTTGAGACCACCTGTGACGACATCAAAGACATCTACAAGAGGATGATCGGCACAGAATTTGACTTTGCAGAAATGGAGCGTAAGAAGACTGACATCTTTGGAGACGTTGATCAGTAAAAGAGTGATGCACTCCCAAAACAATATTACCGACGACCATAATCTACAAGTATTGGCTGATTCAAGTATATGTTCTGTCCATTAAGGAATTTAATGAACTGCGTAAATTTGTATTGTGGGGCCTGCTTTTTATAATCACGTTTTGACAAGTATTGCACTGATCCTAGGTTAATAACCACCATTTATCTTGAGATCATGTACTCGGTTAAGTGATAAATGAGGGGTTCTGTCCAAAGATGCCAAATTATGTTTTATTCAATATCCATGTGGTTATAAAAAGTATATTCGGTATTCGTTTTTACATTTAACTTCCCATGAAAGATTGAAACCTAGGCAGTCCATTTGTATACATGAGTATTATATACATGTAACAAAGTGATAACAAAAATACTATTCATTGAGAAGTGTTTCCAAGAAAAATTTGGAACTGTTTCCCCAAAGCATCTTAAAATATTTTGCCATTGTCAGTAGCCAATATCTTTCCTGTAACACTGAGTTCACTGTCAAAATGATGAAGCATACTGATAAGATCCATACTCTGTTCTGCTGTATCCAAATCTTCCCATACAAAAGAGCAGGACACAGCATTATACTTATACTAAAAATACTGTTCATAGCAGTTTGGGTAACGCACTGTACGTAAGGATTACTTTCTCTCTCCTTTAAACCAATAAAAACTGAACGAATAAAAGCAGGCAAGATGTGACTGCCTTCTATGTACCGTTCCTCTTAATTTACACGGACCAAACTGCAGCGTGGTATTATGACGACGGAGCCAGGTGTAGGACCATCACGGGTGTTTCAAAAGCTGAAACCATTTCTGTACTCCAAAGTAAAGAAGTCATGAAAAACGAACCTGTGTTTAATGATGAAGTAACTTCTGCTTGTGTGTCCATGTTTTTTTTGTCTGGATTTTTTAGCAAATGGTTTTCTGAAGCAATTACAGAAAAGGTTAATTACCTGACCTGCTGTCCTGCACTAGATACTACCTTACTTGAGAGGCACATCACCTAGTCACAGTTGTATTTCAGTATTCAGCAGGGTTAGTGTTTTCATTGTAATGATGATCTAGTAATGAACTATTATAAATGTAAAAGATAGAAAAATGACCATGAATAACTCATTGTGGAATTGAGCTGATATAGTGTACTGTTGTATCAGTCATTTTGGAATATCATCATCATCTTCCGTTTAATCCTGATGAGAGTCCTGGTAGTAACAGGCTGGGCAGAGTAGACCAGACGTCCCTTTTCCGAGCAACAGCTCCTCCTGAGGGACTCCCCGGCATCTGAGAGAGAAAATCCCTGCAGCGTGTCCTGGATCTGCCCCAGGGTCTCTTCCCAGTGGGTTATGCCCTGTTCACCTGCAGCAGGTGGTGCGTAGAGGAGCTTCCTTTCTAGATGCTTGACTGATGCTTGTCACTCGACTGAAGTCTCAAATCTGGAGGAGCAGTGACTCCAAGGTCCTCACGCCGTCTTGCAGGCCTCCGGAGAAACTTCTCATTCTTTCATGCACCATTTGAGGCTAGTGACCACGGGTGAGGACAGAAACGTAGACTGACCAGAAAACCATTTGATTTTCTTGAAAACTCAGCTCCCACTTCGCCACCAAATTCAGTACAGAGTTCTCATCACTACAGCTGCTCCACCAATGAATGATGAGTCAATATTCAAAAATGCATTTTAACAAAGTATACATTATTTTGTTTAATGGCATCACTGTTGTCAACAGCATCCCCAAGAAGTCTAAATATTCTCTGTGTTGATGAAGTGCAATTAAAAGTATTGCATCTAAGTGTAGTGCCCTGTTACAGTTTCATAATGGTGAAAATTGGCCAAAACAACATGCAAACTCAGAATTTCTTTGATGGGCAGAATCATTTTTTTTGTCAAGTGGCGTTATACTTTCTGTTGTTTGGAAACTGCCTCTTGCACACTCAGAGGTGGAAAGATCTGTAATGGATTGAACAGACACTCGGAGCAACAGAAACTACAAGAATTGTCTTTTGTTCTGTAGCACAAGTGAACTACAGTTCAAGGAGTCTCAAAATGGACATCACTTCATCAAGATAACAGATAAGGATAGAAGTACAGACTCCTAATGTCTATGAACATTCTAGGAAAGGAATTAATTGTTAATTATATGTGGTAGGCAAGCTTTCTGAAAATGAAGGATGAAGCTGATCAAAAACGAATACTGGAAATTTTTAAAGACATCTTATCCTAGTCCTTGAGGAACTACAGATCTTACAGATTTTACTCAGGGTGTTAATTTGACAATTAAACCTTTCTAATTCATAGCATTCAAAACTCTTGGGGACTAAGAATTACAAATAGCTGACAAATTGAACAGGTACCAATATACGTGCTACAAATGAGATCAGATGGAATGAAACAATTTAATCAGAAAGAAGTCAGGATGGCTAAAATAGCTCTTAAGAAGGTTAAATCTAAGCGTCCTTGCCTTTCAAAATAATAAAAAAAAATGACAAAGATGTATTTATAAACTGACAATTTATTGCCATTACTTTATTACATTAAAACTAATGGATAGCATTTAACATATAAAGGGTGTTCAGACACTGTACAAGTTGTTAAAATAATTAAAAGCAATATGTTAGAACTGAGGTATGTTTTTTTTACTTGACCTTATCACTGGATACCAGATTAAAAATAATGCTCCACACAAAATATATATATATAAAATGTAATTTTTAAGCTTTAGCCCTTTTAGTTAATAAAGGGCAAGTTGACTTTTTAACTGATCTGTGACAAATCACTTCAGGACATTTTTTATGTTGATCAAATATACAGCTAATTTCTGTCTCTGTACTGCCCAAGCACAAATGTTTGTAACCATTCATCTTACAGGTATATCTTATGCATAGACGTCTCTGTCAGTTACAACTACGTAGAGCTTATGAATTTTATAATTGAGGCTTTTTATACTGCCACATCTAAAATATCTTTAAAATACTGAATGCAACCAGCTTGTTTCTTTTTTCATTATGGTGTATTTATTATGGTGAGTTGAACTGGAGCAGGACAAAAGTC